TGCAACAAAAGGCAAAGTCAGAAAGCACATTTTGGCAGGGGAGGGGTCAGGGGAAGGCAGTGACATTCTCAGTTTCATACATGATAAATGTAAAGTATGAAATGGTCAGGTGATATTAGAACAATTTTGTTAGGGTTATGGGGATAAAAACCCAACTGTTTGGGGAAAGGAGGGGAGGGTTCAGGAAGTGAAGCATTGGAAGTAGACAGTTTTATTAAGTTTAGTGCAGATAATGAGAGATCAAGCAATAGCTAGGAGATATAAGAAAATCAAGGATAGATTAGGGAGACCTGAATCTTATTTACTAATAATTATTTTGTCTCACTATTATGTCTTGAAGCAGGGACTAAAACCATATTTTCCCATTTAGGACCACAGCCTCATTTTTAAAAATTAAAAAGCAATATGGAAATAGTAATGAACTAATATTTTCTTTTAGAGAGAGAGCACTTTTTTTTTTGGTAGAATTAAGCAGAGTGGGCTTTTTTTTTTTCATAGAATAACAAATGAAAGGTTTAGCTCAGTGGGATTTTTAAGAAGAGTAAAACTACTGAAGTAAAACAATCACTTTAAATCTACTCCAGTTCTCTTTTGGTGTTAAAGGATAAAGGTGGAAACAGAAGATAATGGGGTGGGACAGGAAGCACTAGAATGATGCAGTAGATTCTGAAGATTATTAAACTACTTGTCACACCCAGCAATTCTCTTGGTCACCCAAGTGAATGAAGGTGCTGTTGCTCCTTATTTAACTCATTTAGGCCTACTATAGTAATTTAGAGTCCTTATCATTGTCTTTTGACAAATTAATAGCTCTTCAATTAAAAGTATTCTTTACTTTCAGACTTTGGAAGTGGGAGACTTCCAGTCAAAAAATTAATAGAAGTTATTCTCTGAGTTATATTGAGTAATTTTATTCTTGACCAGACCTACCATACTTTTTCTAGATATAGTTAGGCCTTTTACTAGTATTATGTCCTTCAGTGTTTCAGCTGGTTCAACTAATATATGGTATAATATTGTGTAATTTATTTCCCTTCCCTCTGTTCATAGATATTCCACATTTATGTGCTTTTTGTGATTGATATATTTATATACTGTGGGCATTTTTATATATGTTTTATTTGTATGTAATCAAAAGAAAAGAAACTCATTATGGTCTAGATGACAGGCATTTCTTAAAGGTCATGGCTATTCAATTCAGCCCATATTTATTAAGTACCTACTCTTTTCGAAGAATTGGACTCTTGGCCCTATGGATACAACAAACAAAACTTTCTCTGAGTTAAAGGAGCTGATTCTGCTAGGGAGAGGAAGAGAGGGAATAGTGGATATGACAAAGTATAATAAATAGAAGAGGGAAAGGGAACATTTTAAGCTGAAATGAGCCTGAAGGAAGATTAGGAATCTGAAATACAGACTCTAAGGTGATAAAGGGGAGTGGGTAGAATGCTGCTGCCCTCAACAAGTAGGGGATTTTAGAAGGTCAAGTTTAATGAGGAAAATGATGAGTTCTGTCTTGGACCTGTTGAGGTGCATGCATGCAGGAATTCATCCAGATGGAAATATTCAGCAAGCAGTTGAAGATGTAGGAGAGATGAGGGCTAGATATACACTGGAAGTCATTTTCATAGTAGTCGTAATTGACTGTCTAGGATCTTTCCAGAATTCATTTAGTAACTAGTAGTTATAGATGGAATAGAAAAGTTGATGGCCCAGGCAGAAGACTAGAGAAAAAATAAAGTGAGATGATTCTGAGAGTAGGAGTTTTTTGCAGGTATGTTAGGTAATTTTCAAGGTGGTTGTCACATCTTTCCCCTCTACCCCCTGGTCTTTTTCAGCCTGGAGAAGAAGAGATTTGGCTGGGGAGCCTGGGGGGAGTAGGGGGAAGGTGTGAGGATGGGAGACTTGATAATATTTTGAAGTATTCAAAAGTTGCATGTAGAATTGGGTATCAGACCTGTTCTGATAATCTCTTCAACACCAGAAGAAGGAACAGTGGATAAGAGTTGAGGAAAAGGCAGATTGGCTTGATAAAAGGAAAACTTTACTAAAAATTAGAGTGGATTATACTGCCTTGGGAGATAGTGGATTCCCTTTAACTTGAGGTCTTAAAGCAAAGGCTGGTTGACCACTTGTCCATTGCAGAAGGAAGGATTTTTATTCTGGTATAGGTTGTACTAGGCCTTTGAGAGGCCTTCCAGCCCTGAGATTTCTCTTGTTTTATATATGGTTAATCAAAAAGCTTCCTGGAGGTGGTTAAGGTAAGGGGATTGGGATTTTCCTGGCAGGTAGAATTGGTCTTGGTCAAAGACTTGCTGATAGAAAAGTGAGATTGGATATAAAAAGAAGTAAACAGGTGACAAGACAAGGCTGGCTGGAGAGCCATTCAGCACCCATAGTCAGAAGAGTTGGATTTTAAAAGGGCTATGAGTTGCACACAGAATGTAAGAGATGTAATATCATATTTGGAATAAAATTTTAGTAGAAAGATGTAAACAGGGATAAAGAGCCACTTGAGAGTATTAAGTTGTAAATAGAAGCAGCTAGGTTTGAAGAGAAGGGGTGTGTGTGTGTGTAATGAATAAAGTACCAGATTTAGTGTCAGCACTACTCATAGGGTTTGAATCCTACCTATGACACTGACAGGTCTATATGACCTTGGACAAGTGCCTTAACTTCTCTGAGCCTCAATTTCTTTATCTGTAAAATGAAAGAGAAGTATAGTAGATGACCTCTTCGGTCTCACGTCTTAGTATGATGCATATTGTTTTAAAGAATGCCTAGAAATTTTGAAAGAGAAGTGGGTCTTGCCATGACATCACAAAAGGGGGAAAAATGGAGACAGAAGATTAAAAAGCATATTGTATGATGTATAATGATAAGAAATTAGATAAGGAAGGGACTGGGCCTTAATTATGACTGGGAATGAACTAGAAAAGCCTGTGGGTTCTAGTGGGAGAATTAAGGCATATGTGCCTGTTTGAAGAATTGGGCATGAGTCAGGCCAGAAGTTCAGTATGGTTCTGTAGGGGGATGGGTAGCTCTTGATTTGAGAGAAGATAATTTCATGGTAGAAGGAAAAGTAGCTCATGCTAATAGGCCTTTTTCAGAAATGTTAAAGATGTTTGATGGATGAATAGTTTGAAGAAATTTAAGGAAAGAATTGATGGTGCTAAAGAATATGTGTATTATGGACAGAAGAACCAATTAGAAATGTAATGGCATTGAAGCTGTTGTGGGAAATTCTTTTTCGTCTATAGCAAAGAATTGTGCATACTTGGGATAACTAGGTGGCTAAATTAGGTGTTTGATGGTAAACACAGAGAGAGTGTCAGAAAGGGTATCGACATGAAGTGGGTATTCAGCAAGAGAAAATAAATTAAGAATACAGTAGAGTTCCAGCAATATTTTTCAGAGAATAACTGAATGACTAAGTTGTTCTGACGCAAATCAACTACAGAGGTCCTATGAAAGAAGATGCTACCCACCTCCAGAGAAAGAACTGGTAAATAGAAGTATGCATAATGTTTTTCTGTGTGTGTGTGTGTGTGTGTGTATAAATAAAATTTTTTTTAGAGTCATATATGATATGGACCAGTGACTGGTGACAAAATCAGATAACTTTGGAAATTGAGGTAGTAAGAGAGATCTATTGAACTAAGAACAACAAGGCTGTAGTACTTAACCATAATTGTGGAGATTTAGATGCCCTCTATTAATTTTTTTTTATTTCTAGGCACAAGATGTCTAGCAAATTAAAAGTTGTAAAAAATTTATTAAGATGCTTTGGAAATACCTAAAATTAATCTACTTATATGTGTGTGTGTGATAATTAGATTCTGTAAACCTTCATACAGGATGATCATCAACAACAGGTATTAATTAACCAGCTGTGTGAGCCTCACAGGATGGATACAGTTCTGGCTTTCCCGAACACTGACATTTTTAGTGCTGGCACTGTTGGTTTTGCTATTTGCAAACAGGAATATGGTTGAAATAAGAACAAACTACAGGAAAAGTTGGACCACGTGTAAAACACTTTCTGCTCTTAGGGAGATTTTAGCAGCTAGAGCAGGAAGGTGAAAATCCAGAGCTCAGATGCCAAGAAACAAATGTACCATAAGAAATAATTCTTATTGTGGAGAAAATGTGAAACAAGGAGCCAGCATCTGCAGAGAATGAGCAAGACTGTAAATGCTTCTTTCTGCCCATGGTACATGTGAACCAAAAATCCTCCCATCATCATTTTTACAAAGTGCAGGAGAACCTGGCAGCCTGGGTAAGAACCAGCTTCTATGTGACAGTGACTTGGCTGATCCACAGACCTGAGAGAATGATGACAAAACCGGGATCTTATGATCAAAGTGGGGGCAATAAGGAACATGGATGGAGTTGGCTGAAATTACTTTGGATGACTTTAATCTCTCCTTAGAGAAGACATAAACTGATCCTTGGAAAATTTATACTTACAGGGGAAGTGTATAGTGAGAGTTTGGGTAATTTTTTCAGTTTGCACCAAAGTAGTCTTCCAGTTACGTAAAACTGAACATTATATATAGGTGATAAGAATTTTTTAATCAAAGTGAATATATTACATGTTAGTCTTCTGATGAATGTTCATGTCAATGTATTCATGTGTGGGCAGTAGCCTTTTTTCCATATGTAATCTATCAAACTTGATAAAATGCCATTTAGAAGCCAAGTTTTATATTACTGGCTTGTCTCAGTGAAGACAGTTGAAGAACATTGATGCTTATGAAAAGCTTTTGGTTCAGAGGAGGGAGGTGAAAATATTCTGGGAATTTTAAATGTTTTATTGCTCCAAAATACGCAACGAAATCTATTAAACATAACTCAATTTAAAAGAAGGGCTTATATGGACAGAGAACTCTGAAGACTCAGATTGGAAATAAACATAAATTTACCAGCTTTTCTTGGTTTCTTGGATGTCATTCTCTTTTGTTTAGCTATTCATTTCTTGTATTTATGTGTTGTTCAGCAAAGATCACCGCAGCTTAAGAGAAAAGAAGGTGGGGTCCTTGGTAGCCACAGAAACTACACTAAGCATATTGGGCCCTTGGAAATTTTATGTATTTTTGACATTCTAGCTTCTGTATCAGGTAGATTTGACCTCAAGTTTAGAATTAAGCATGCAAGTATGTCTAACTTGGTTTATTCAGTTTCGAAGTTTCTTGGAATGAAATCTGACTTTTACCAAAGATTGAAATGCATGAAATTAGTGAAATAGCTGTGTATCTTCTTTTATATTAAACGTTAACATATTATTATTGTTGTCAGCAATAAATCATAGTGTTTAGTGTAGGTATTTTGGAGTTACTGATGTTTATCATTTAAGATTTTTCATTGTTTCTGAAGAAGTTTAATACTTGCCTTGAATTATTTTATTCTTTTCCTCTCTTCAGAGTGCTGAGGTTCATATTCTGTCCTGAAAGGTTCCTAAGAAAAGAGTAGCTGGTGTGAGGAAATAAGCCAATAGTGTTCTCATTTTATCCTACAGGTCCCAGCAGGGACGGCACAATCAGTGAGGACACTATCCGAGCATCTCTCATTTCAGCAGTTAGTGACAAGCTGAGATGGCGAATGAAAGAGGAAATAGATCGTGCCCATGCAGAGCTCAATGCCTTAAAGCGCACAGAGGAGGATCTGAAGAAAGGTCACCAGAAACTGGAAGAGATGGTAACCCGCTTGGATCAGGAAGTGGTGAGCAGCTCTTGGCAGTAAAATGTTCTCTGGAAACCATGAAGGATGTCATTTCATGCCATATTTATGTACAGGTACTCTTGGGAATATAGGCAGAGGAGGAAACTGAGGCCCAGAGAGCTTATGTGACTTGCCCAAGGTCAGTCACATAGTGTTTTCAGTGAGATTGGATCTTTTTAAAGATCACAGGGAGGTTTTTGAGAATTGTTGCCTGGTTACTTACTTTCATGGTTCATCTTAGCATGATATGGTGAAAATGATACTCCCTTCAAAGTCAGTAGACTTAGTTTGTATGCTGCCACCTAATACCTTGAGCATACTCTACCCCTGAGGCTGAACCCCTAAAGATGCTTTTAATAACGTAGCTGAACTCGTTCTTCAGTAATTACCAAACTCTCATTCCAGTGGTTTTGAAATCTGTTGCTCTTCTGCTTCCAGTGCCTTCATCCTTATTCCCATCCCCCTCAACCCAATCCCTGCCAAGTTCCCACCTTTAAAACCACCTGCCTGTTTCATTGTGCTTTTTGGAAGACCTACTTCATCCTTAAATAATAAAGTTGTTTTCATCTTAAAACAGATTTTCCTTTCCCATTTCCTTCATCATCTTGCACTTGTTAAGACCTTTCTCCCTACTGATGGTGAGGCTTTCTTGGCTACCCTTTCTCACACTGTTTGTGCTTTTACTCATGCTCTATCTCACTGGTTGAAGTGGGGGAGTTAGAATATCCTTTGCTCCCCACTGCCTCTTTGAGGATTTCCCTCTGTATCACTCAGTAATTCCTTTGAGATTCATTCAGTCCATATTTGCAACTCAAACAAGGTTCTGGTAATTTACCTACTAACCTTTAGAACATTTTCTTCTTTGTTCAATGAGTTCAGTTCCTGGATCACAGTCTTTCCTCCCCTACTCTCTAATCTCCCAAATCACAAAACTTTCCTTTGTGGGTCCACTATAGATTTATGTTATATAATCTCAACTGGACCTTCATTGTGGCAAGACAGTCCTTTTACACCTCCCTAATCTATTTTCTTTTTCATTCACCACAGTAGCTTTTCTAAACCTTTTCATCCCTGGTCACACCTCAAGACCCCCTCCTCCCTTTTCAGCAAGGACCTTCCCTCATATTTCAGTGAAAAAATTGAGGCTATTCACTGAGAGTTCCTCCTCCTCCTCCCCCCTTATCTTCCTTTACTATCTCATCCTAGGCCCCCTTCTTTTTTTCCCTTTATATACTCCCCTTGGTTTAATGACCATCTCTATACGGATGAATCTCAGTTCTACTTATTACCTTATTACCATTACCTTTTTGTTGACCTTCAGTCTCACATGTGCAGATATCTCTTGAACATCCTGAATTGGATATGCTGTAATCAGCTTAATCTCACTTAACAAGTCTAAAATGGGAGTAACTCTCCCTCCCCTCCCCCCCAAAAAATCTCTCTTCCTAATGGAATTCCTTATGGTACCATCATTGTCCCAGTGTTACCCAAGCTTCCAGACTGTGTATCATCTTTAACTTCTAACGCATTCTTCTTCCACCTCCATGATCCAGTCATTTGCCAAGTCCTGTCATTTCAGAAAAGAGTCACCATAGGGACACACTGAAGAATCAATTCAGTCAGAGGAACATAGTTGCACAGCAACCTGATAAGCCCAGTAGGGTGAAGAACAGTGTGCATCTGGAGAAGAAAAGCACACTTGACAGGAAGCCCCTACAAGAAGGGCAGGCAAGATTCCATGCTTTTAGTATCCCAAGTGTTACAGATCACACTGCAGTCTTTTCAGCCAACAGAAAGGTGTAAAATCAGTGATGTTCTTGGAAGTAGAAATGCATTTACAGTTTCCTTCTTTAAAGTACTGTTTTAAAATCTGTCAAACATTTCACATACATAAAGACTGTCAATATTTTAAAAACCTGTTATATTGGCATAGGTCAGTGGGCTAGAAGCTCAGGAAGCAGCTGTCCCGTCCCCCCCCCACCTCGGGCCACGCTCTTGGGGAATGGAGCTGAAACCCCACCTTCCTGTCTAAGCACTGACAGAAACAGACTTTTCCCACTGACCTTCTAAGTTGTCTTTGGCATTCATGGATTGAGGAGTCTGGAAACCTCCACAGCTGCCCACGATTCAGTCCTCTGAGGCCTGCTCCAGGTTCGCTGCAGCCTGCGCGTCCACGCTGCGCTGCGCTCCCAGCCCGGTGCAATACACCTTTCTGATCAATCATCCAGGTTGTCTTGGGCTGCAAATTTGTTTCACTCTGTCTTTTTGTGGGTTCTGCTGCTTCAGAATTTGTTTAGAGCCATTTTCTATGAGTATTTGGAGGGGTTTGGAGGAGAGTTCAAGCAAGTCACTGCTTTCACTCTGCCATCTTGGCTCCGCCCCCCTACAACTCTCCCTTCTACGGGATTATGATACCTCTCTGAATTATTTTTATTATAGATAGATAGATAGCTTGCATTGCATATATTTCATGTCATCTCCCCCATTAGATTGTAAGCTCCTTGAGGGCAAGAACTGTCTTTTGCCTTTTTTTGTATCCTATGGGATTCGTACAGTGCCTAGCATTTAGCAGGCACTTAATGATTATTGATTGCTAGATTGACTGCCTCAAGAAAGTTTTTTTGAACCTGAGAAGACTTAAATGAACTGAATGAATCAGGAGAACATTGTAAACAGTAATAGCAACATTGTTCAATGACCACCTTTGATAGACAGCTCTTCTCAGCATGATCTAAGACAATTCTAAAAGACTCATGATGGAAAGTGCTTTTACCTACATTCAGAGAAAACTGTGGAGACTGAATGCAGATTGAAACATACTACTTCCACTTTTTTTGTTTTGATTTCTCATGGTCTATGTCTTGGTTCAGATTCTTTTTTCACAACATGACTTATGTGGAAATTTGTTTAACACGATTGTATGTGTATATCAGATTGCTTGTCTTCTTGGAGGGAAGGAAGAAAAAAATTGGAACTCAAAATCTTACAAAAGTAAATGTTGAAAACTTATCTTTACATGTAATTGGAAAAAATAAAATACTATTGGGGGGTGGGGGAGAAGGTTTTTTTGTCCTAGACCTGTTCCCCTACCTTCTTGAGAGGGCAAGTCTTAAAAGGGTTTTTTATTACTTAATATTTCTAGATACATAAATGTTAAAAGTTTTTAATATGCTTCCACAGTTGGAAAGGGGTAGAGTTATGAAGGCTTCAAATACCAGAGCATTTTATATTTGATCCTGGAAATATTGGGGAACCTCTATTGGAGAGGGAAATATTGTTTCAGATCTTTCCTTTAAGAAAACCTTTGGTAGCTGATCAGAAGATAAATTGAAGTGAGGAAAGACTTAAGGTCATGGCAGTAATCCAGGTGAGAGGTGATGAGAGCCTGTACTAATATTGCAGCTTCGTGACTACAGAAGGGAGATACGGGGAAGGTTAAAAAATCTTGGCAACAGGTTGGCTATGTGGAGTGAGTGAGAGAGTAGTGGAGAGAATAACACTAAGGTTGCAGCCCTGGGAGGTTCCTGGGAGGATGGTACCTTGGACGTTAATGGAGGAGTTTAGTAGAACCCAGGAGGGTTTTGGGGGAAAGATAAGGGGCTCTGTTTTGGACTTACTGAGTCTGAGATACCAGCTGGCCTTCTTGCAGTTCCTCAAACAAGATCTCTGGCTCCAGAATTGTCACTGGCTGTCTCTCATGTGTGAAATGCTCTCCCTCCTAACTTCACTGGCTTGTTTCAAGTCCCAGTTAAAATCTTACCTTCTACAGGAAATCTTTTCCAACTCCTCTGTTGAGTATTTCCTTTTTTTCCTGTATATACCTTATTTGTACGTAGTTGCTTAAATGTCTGCCGTGTTCGATGATGAACTCTTGGTGGGCAGGGACTGTCTCACCTTTCTTTGTATTCTCAGCCTTAGCACAGTACCTGGAACATAGTGGGAACTTAATAAATGCTTATTGACTGTTCCTGGCACTCAGGTTCCAGTTGAATAAGTAGATCATCAGCATAGAGATAATTGACTCCTTGGAAGCATATCAGATAACCAAGTGAGATAGATTCGTGGTACCCAATGGTTTGGGTTTTTGTTTCTTCCATGAACCCTTTCAACAAAAAAGAAGTATTACAAAACCACTGGAGTAATTTAATACACTAATAATATTCTTTTAGATTTATTAAGTTGAAATAACTGTAGTGATAATTTTTACCCAAAAAAAATCCATATTGAAATTTACCAATTACAAGTGTAAAACATAAAATTTCATTCTACCCATATTATGAAATTATGAAAACTCTAAATATAAAATTATAAAACTGGTTATAAAATAATTGGGTATATTTTGTTTGGGATATTCTAGAAGAATTTAAAGTTAATCCATCAAAACTTCATGCCTCAAATGCTACTTCAGCCACATACCAGCTTTCTGACCTGGACAAATCACTTAATGCCTCAGCCTCAGTTTCCTATCTGTAAAAACGGTGTTTGTAATACCACCTATACCTGTTAGGGTTGTGAGGATCAAATAAGATAACACGTAAAGTGCTTGACAAACCTTAAAATGTTATATAAATGTGATCACAGCCAAAGGCAATGATTTAATCTTTTACTGCATTGAGGGGTGTGTCCAGCATTTAGGTGGTGACGGTGCTCTGTTATCTTCTACCCTGTTTAGATTACATCTAGAATGTTGTGGTCTATTTTGGTCATCATGTTTTAGGAATTACACGGATAAGCTAGAGACTTTGTAGAGGGGGACCAGTGAAGGGCCTAGGGATGCTTTGTCTGGAAAAGAGACGGTGTAGTGGGTGATTTGATAGACGAATTCAAGTATTTGAAGAGATGTTGGAAAGGATTTTGTTCTGTTTTACTTCTTACAGTGGAATTGGGAGCAATTGGTAGAATTAAAGTAAGGGTAAAGGTTAGGGTAAGAGTTAGAGCTGTCCAAAAGTGAAAAGGGCTGCTTGAGGAGGTAATGAGGCTTCCCATTCACTTGAGGTCTTGCATCAAAGGTCATTTATTGAGTAAGTCATAGAGTAAATTCTTGTTCAGGTTTAGGTTGAAATAAGTGGCCTTTGGAAATCTCTTCTAAGATTCTGGGAGCTCAGCCTTCCAAGTTGCTGCCACTGCACCTTCTTCCAATGTATGCAGTGAGTTTATTTAAACAGTCTTCAGCTATTTTAAAAGTTCTTGTCATTTGCAGGCTCAGAATTATACTGAGATTGTAGTCAGAGCTGGAAAAATTAAAAGAAAATCAAGTCCAGCCACCAAAGAGGAATTCATACAGCTGAGTGTTCACTGTTACTTGCCACATTTGGGGACACTAGGCATTTAATCTTTTTAGAGTTGGAAAAGTTCTATATGTAGTCTGCATGGAAAGATCTCATTTTAGTGAAGAATTTTCCCATTTGTCACTTCCCAGTGGGAAAGTAGCTGCCAGTTACATAACCCTAAAATGATACACAGATGACTGTGTTATATCTCTGCTGTGATATAGAGCTAATAATTCTCACAGCCAGCCTTCCTATGTGAGACCATAAGTACTAGCTAAACTATTCACTGCACTTTTGGTTTACTCCTCTTACTTTGGCCGAGTTTATTCTAATGTTCATTTAACTCCTCATATTTGTTGTTTCACTGGGGTACTTTTCTTTTTTCTAATAAAATGCTATAATGTGTCCTCACATATTACACATTAGTACTGAGGGAATGTAATGACAGAGCCCCAGGAAAGGTTTCCCTAGCCAGATTCTTTGTTTGAGGGAGGGGACTCTTAAGTTGTTAACACCTAATTCTTCATAAAATGTTAAATACATTGGTACATAATTGTCATTGGTACATAATTGTCACATTTGGACTCATCTTGTTTACAGGCTGAAGTTGATAAAAACATTGAATTACTGAAAAAGAAGGATGAAGAGCTCAGTTCTGCTTTGGAGAAAATGGAAAATCAGTCTGAAAACAATGACATTGATGAAGTTATCATTCCCACAGCCCCACTCTACAGACAGATCCTGAACTTGTATGCAGAGGAAAATGCAATTGAAGACACCATCTTTTATCTGGGGGAAGCTTTAAGAAGGGGAGTGATAGACCTAGATGTCTTTCTGAAGGTAAGCTTTTTGAATGTTCTATGCCTAGATCTTGAATTGTCTTGACTAACAAGCACTAAAACTGAAGATTTTGACCCCTGGCAATTTTAGGATTTAACACTGAAAAGGGAAAAGATCCAGCCCAATTTTGGATAAACTGAGGTCTAGAGGGTTGTTTAATAATAATAGTTGACAGAACTTTAAGGTTTGCAGGTATACTGGATAGAGAGTTCAGGCTCCACCTCTTGACACATGTCTGTTAGTGTGACATGTCCAAGGTCCAGGGTCCTTTGTCCCAGTTCATAGGCCAATAAAATCACAGGTTCAAATAAAAATAATTTTTGCAAAGTATTTGGCACATGTCAACATTATTAAGTGCCCATAGGGTCATGTACACACATGGTAACTGTATGAGGCAGTATTTGATCCCAGGTTTTCATTATTCTAAAGGCAAGCATTGTGCCAACTGTCATACTAGCTCAGAGTAAGTGACTTGCCCTAGGTTGGAGCCTCAGACCCATCCTTTGAAGTTGGAGGGCTCAGTTCTCCAGCTGGTGACTGGGAAAATACTTAAATCTCCCTGGACTAATACTTAATCTCTTTCATCTGTAAAATCGTGGATAGAACTAGATCACCATGATCTTCAGTGGATCATTTCAGAGTTGTGTCTTCTGTCGTGGCTTCCAGAGCTGATGGAGAGCACAGACCATCAACTCTCCACTGCCCTGTGCATCTCCCCATCCATTCTTCGCTCCCTGGTCTTCCCAAACGCACAGGCGGCCTCCCATTCTGTGCTGTGCCTGATGTGTGATAAGGACCTTCCACCTCCCATATACACATCCCTGGTCCCTAAGGGTCAATCACATGACATAGTAAAAATCAGAGAGCTTCCAC